GGTTCCAAAAAAATGTGATTCCTTGGTGTGGTTCAGTTCGGTTTACAATTCGGTTTGATTCTTTTGGATTTTTTGCACATCATTGTCTTCAATATAAATGGGAGTACATATCCCACACTGCAGGCAAGCATCAACGAGCGATCATAAATTTTGTTAAAGGAACCAACCTCACTGACTACAAGGTTGATCCTACAGCGGGTGATATTGTTAGTCACGAGCCAACTCTTAAAAAGGAGAATAAGGTTTGGAGGGTATATTCCAGAGGAATAAACAGTAGGTTAGTGAGTTACCTAACACAATTGGTTACGGCAATAGTTAGATGGGAGTTTAAATAGCGAGAGTTGTACCTAATATAGGAGGCGGAAATAATAGTTTGTTCACTGCGGTTTCTCAGTTGTAAGGGTGTTGCCTGGTAATGGTAAGGGAGATATTATGCTTGTTCAATCTATCTCTATCTCTCCCTAACAGAATTCTCCTTCTCCATCTCTTTGGTTTCTTTCTTTCCCTACCATTCTTCCTGCAATTCTAGTCTATTTTCGTAAGGGTTCCTATCAAGGCCTGACCGTACGAAATGTCTAACCATGTGTATATTTTGCAGACAGGAAACAAGACATAGTACACCATTCTCTTGCCGGTTTTCCGGGGAATTATATGAAATCCATAAAACGAGGAATGCCTACTCTTATCTAATTATATTAATGTTCCGCTGCACGTTGACAAGTTGGATGGCTCCAATTATGATTCTTGGGCTTCTGATCTCCGACTTTGGCTTGATGGACAGGACTACACTGACCATCTCATTACTAAGGCTGAGTCCATCTCGGTAGATGTACGCCCTCATTGGAAAAAGGTTGATGCTCAGTTATGTAGCATCATCAAGTCTACCATCCACTCGTCCTTGAAGCAGATTTTTCGTGCTCACGTCACTTGTGAGTCTGTTTGGCGTCAGGCCAAGTCACTTTATACCAATGACACTCAGCGACTCTATAGGGTTTGTCAAAATTTGGTCACTACTATTGCTGCTCAACAACTTGATGTCTCTATGTCTGCTTATTTGGGAAAAGTTCAGGGCCTCCTTCATGATTTCAATGAACTGTTGCCGCCTGCTGCAGATCCTGCTCAAGAACTTGAGCAACGCAGCACGTTCTTCATGCTCATGGCACTTTATGGTTTGCCCCCGGCATATTCTGTCAACCGGGATCAGATCTTGGGCTCTACTACTGTTCCATCGCTGGACTCTGTTTGGTCTACGTTGCTTCGCATTCCACCTAAGACTTCTATGGAGCCTGCAATATCTGCTCCCTCTTCAATTGACCCATCTGCCCTTGTCTCCAAGGGTTTTGCACGTGGACGCAAACCCTCTACGAGACGCTTTCTCTGCACTCATTGCAAAAAGCCGGGCCATACTATTGATCGTTGCTGGGATCTTCACGGTCGCCCTCCTCGCTCCGCTCATTTTGCTCAGACTACTGTTCTTGCCTCGGACTCTGCCTTGATTGCTGGATCACAGCCACCTCCTGGTACCACTGCCTCTAGTGCACACACGGGTAATTCCTTTGCTGGTGTTTCTCACTCGCCCTCTCTTGGTCCATGGATTCTCGATTCTGGTGCATTTGACCATATTTCTGGTAATAAGTCTTTATTTACCTCTCTCTGTACATCTGGTCCCCTGCCCAGTATCACTATGGCTAATGGGTCACTGGTTCAGTCCCAAGGGATTGACACTGTTCTCCTTTTTCCTTCTATTCCCATTGAGAATGTGTTTAATGTTCCTTATTCTCCTTTCAACCTTATTTCCATTAGTCGCTTGACTCAATCCCTTGACTGTATTATTTCTTTCACTAAAGAGTCTGTCATTTTGCAGGATCGGAGCTCGAGGAGGACACTTGGCGTCGGATTTGAGTCCAATGGCCTTTATCAGCTTTCAACTTTTGTTCCAGTGTGCTCTGTTGTGGATTCTCCGCTTACTATCCACGCTCAGTTGGGTCATCCAAATCTTGCTAAGCTCCAGAAGATGGTCCCACGTTTCTCAAATTTATCTAGTTTGTCTTGTGAGTCGTGTCAGTTAGGGAAGCACACTCGTAGTTCGTTTCCCGATCGTGTCAGTAGTCGGTCTTCGTCTCCTTTTGCTTTAGTTCATTCAGATATTTGGGGTCCTAGTCGTACCATTTCCACTATGGGGTACAGATATTTTGTAACTTTCATTGATGATTATTCTCGATGTACTTGGTTATTTTTAATGAAAAATCGGTCTGAATTGTTTTCTATTTTTAACAAGTTCTTTAATGAAATCCTTACTCAATTTGGTGTTTCGATTCGCATTTTTCGAAGTGATAATGCTCGTGAATATTTGTCTCATCAGTTTCAAACCTTCTTTGCATCTCACGGCATCCTTCATCAGACATCATGTTCACACACCCCTCAACAGAATGGGGTTGCTGAACGCAAGAACCGTCACCTAATTGAGACTACTCGGACACTCTTGTTACATGGTCATATCTCATTCCAGTATTGGGGCGATGTTGTCCTCACAGCTTGTTATCTCATTAATCGGATGCCTTCCTCCGTACTTCATAATCAGGTACCACATTCTGTGTTGTTTCCCCATCAACCTTTGTACCCACTCACTCCTCACATCTTTGGTTCTACTTGTTTTGTCCACAATCTCAGTCCTGGTCTTGACAAGTTATCTGCTAAGTCACATAAATGTATTTTCCTGGGTTACCCTCGCTCACAAAAGGGTTATCGTTGTTATTCTCCTAGTCTTCGTCGTTACTTTGTCTCGGCGGATGTTACATTCTTTGAGTCTATTCCATTCTTTGACTCCTCCTCCCATCCCAATGATTCTGTTGCTATTCAGCTACATTTACCACCTGTTTCAGTTCACTATATACCTTCACCATCTCCTTCTTTAGATGTCCCCGTCCCTGTTCCCACCCCTGTTCCCCCCCTCCAGGTCTATCATCGTCGGCAACGTCCCCCTGTTCCCCAAGACCCTGCCCCCCCCCCCCCCCCCGAGTCTTCCCCTATTGTTACTGAGGCTCCTGTGGACTCACTTTCGTCATCATCTCCTCCGGCAGCTCCGATCCTTCCATCTGACATTGATGTGCCCATTGCACTCTGGAAAGGTACTCGTGATTCTCGTCCCCCTCCCAGGTATTTAATAAATTTGAGTTATCATCGTCTTCCACCATCCCATTTTGCTTGCCTCTCTTCTCTTTCTTCTGTATCTGTTCCTAAGACTACAGGTGAGGCGTTATCACATTCTGGTTGGCGACAGGCCATGATTGATGAGATGAGTGCACTTCAGAGTAGTGGTACCTGGGATCTGGTTCCCCTCCCCTCTAGGAAGTCTGTTGTGGGCTGTCGATGGATATACACGGTTAAAGTTGGTCCGGATGGTCAAGTGGACCGTCTTAAGGCCCGCTTGGTGGCTAAAGGTTATACTCAGATATTTGGCCTTGACTATGGTGACACATTTTCTCCCGTGGCGAAAATGACTTCTGTTCGCCTCTTTATTACTATGGCAGCCATTCATCACTGGCCTATGTATCAGCTGGACATAAAGAATGCTTTCCTCCATGGTGATCTGCGGGAAGAGGTTTATATGGAGCAACCTCCTGGGTTTGTTGCTCAGGGGGAGTCTAACCTAGTTTGTCGTCTCCGAAGATCCTTGTATGGTCTAAAGCAATCTCCCCGGGCTTGGTTTGGAAGGTTTAGCAGTGTTGTACAGCAGTTTGGCATGACTCGAAGTGAGGCTGATCACTCAGTCTTTTACAGACACTCTGATTCAGGTTCTATTTATTTGGTAGTATATGTTGATGATATCGTCATTACAGGTAATGATACTCATGGCATAACTCAGATAAAACAACATTTGTGCCATCATTTTCAAACAAAGGACCTTGGAAGACTCCAATATTTCTTAGGGATAGAAGTGGCCCAATCCAAAGATGGCATTGTACTATCACAGAGAAAATATACTATGGATATTCTTGAGGAAACAACATTGTTAAATGCTAAGCCCGTTGATACTCCTATGGATCCAAATGTCAAGCTTTTACCAAATCAGGGGGAGCTATTTTCTGATCCAGAAAGATATAGAAGATTGGTTGGGAAACTGAACTATCTCACAGTTACTCGACCAGACATTTCCTTTGCAGTCAGTGTAGTAAGTCAGTTCTTGAATTCTCCCTGTGAAGATCACTGGAATGCAGTAATCCGTATCCTCAAGTACATCAAGACTGCTCCTGGCAAAGGTCTTCTCTATGAAAACAAAGGTCATACCAGAGTTGTAGGATACTCAGATGCTGATTGGGCAGGTTCTCCTATTGATAGAAGATCCACTTCTGGGTATTGTGTATTCGTTGGAGATAACTTGATTTCCTGGAGAAGTAAGAAGCAAAGTGTAGTTGCTAGATCAAGTGCTGAAGCAGAATATCGCTCCATGGCCCTAGCTACCTGTGAACTCATCTGGTTAAAACAGCTACTGAAGGAACTCAAGTTTGGAGACACTGGCCCAACATCTCTCATTTGTGATAATCAAGCTGCTTTGCATATTGCTTCAAATCCAGTGTTTCATGAAAGGACTAAGCACATTGAGATAGATTGTCATTTCCTTAGGGAAAAGGTTCTCTCAGGAGATATAGTCACTCGTTTTGTCAACTCAAATGATCAATTAGCTGATGTATTTACTAAGTCTTTGAGAGGACCTAGGATAGACCAGATATGTAACAAGCTTGGTGCATACGATCTATATGCTCCAGCTTGAGGGGGAGTGTTGCTGTACATAGTATAGAAGTCCCACATTGAGTGTGTCTCTTTGTATTCTTCAATTGGTTTGCTATATAATAGCACCAATGTTGTGTAGTTTAATATAACAAGGATTACAATGAATACCTCTTGTCTCTTGGTAATTAACATTATCTATAAGAAGTCATGGCAGATAAAGACAAGCAAGTTGAGAATTCTACATGAAAAGGAATTAGATAGCAGCATACCTCTAGTTCATGGATGATTGCGGCTGTGCGCCAACCTGCCTTTGAGGGTCCTCTCAAGTCGCTAAATAGGTGATCTCCAAAATATATCACCTGATTAAAAGTGTGAATTTTAGCATTCTAGGGGCTCCATGTGAAAGAACCTTTATGTCAAATTATGTATTTGCTTTACAATTAAAACTTAATGTAAAATTTAAGTAAATAGAAATATTACGCAGCTTGGCTTATCAAACATCAAATAAAATACCTCTGGGCCTTTCCACTTGGTTATTTGGAGAAAGGATTTGAGGCATCCATGATAATAAATTTTATCAGGAAGAAATTCATCAACCTTGGTAAAAGTTAATGTGTCTTTCTGTGTGTCATAACAACTGCGTGAAAGAGCCAATGGTATTCAGAACCTTTCCAAAGAATTCAAGATACAAGAATATAAACTCAAATGTCAAGGAGATGAGAAAAGAAAGTAATGATGGAGAAAAAACGCTTGGCAAAAGAAAATGATCCATTAGCTTCCTGTCAGGGTGAGAAGAATTTGCAAACAGCCACACTATGCTCAATTGCTTGTAGGACAAAAATTTATTTTTTACTAGATCGTATTCTTCATTTCCCCTTTGATTACTGTAATTCTAAAGAGAGTAACATCCAAATGATCCCAGTCCTTAAGTGAGTTTAATTTTTTTCATAGTGATAAAATAATAAAAGGAGTATAACACAATGTGATCCCAATTATACTTATTAAAATAAATCAGAATAAGAAGAATTAAGTTAGAAAATAGAAAACGAGCACTTTATCATCTAGGATAAAATTAGAAATATAGGATACAAACCGGAATGGATGCTCAGATGTATAAAACTGTGGTTTCTTGGCCTTAGCAATCACAACATTAAACAGTTCCGTCCAGGAGTCTCTACAATCCATAGAATCCTAATCAACATTCAAGAATAAACTCAAGGAAATTACGGCCAGATATGAAAAGTGCAATACAATAATGAACAACAAAAATTACATTTAAACCAAGAAAATAAAAGACACCTGACTGCTAATGTCAGTATTAACCATCCAAGTGATATGTGTACTTCACATAAGTCCAGTATACAGCTGTCCCTCCCTTTTAAAATTTTATTTTTAGGCTTAGTTTAATAGAAATTTCATCTTCACATCAATAAGAAAAAGTGGAAAAGATGCTAATAGAAGATAATTTTACTCCAAATACAAAATGATTACAATTGAAACACTTGAAATTAAGTCATATAGAGAAACCAGGCTATGGTCAATGGCTAGAAGTAACGGCATCATGGACAAGTAGAGAGCTGATGTATGTGGCCTTCACAACTACTTATAAACATGAACGTAGTAATTTGTTAAAAGACAGAACAGCAGATATGAAGAGGATGCGGGATCCTTCTGAAACAAACAGAAGCACATGCACTTATATATTTTTCAAAACATGCGTGCACTATTCTAAGGTCTGTGAATATTTTTGTTTTACAGTAAAGAACAAAACCATAACTTCCCTATTCTCCAAAATTTTCCAAAAATGTTAGATATTCATCTTTACAAGTTGCTAAAATGATATAGTCCATGTAATCGGCAAGAAAAGTGAAAGTTATGTAAAATTGAATCTCCATTCTAGACTCTTATATCATCTGAATTACACTCGTCATATTAGACATAACTGATTGCATTTATTTTTCCACCAACATTGTCTGGAACTTTTTAAAGAATTTAGAGTTGGAACTCTGAAGCTGTTGAATCAATTGATATGCAATGTAGACAATTATTGGGTAATACCACTTTCCAAATTAAGAAAAAACTAATAAACTCCAACTGGCACAGTGAATGCTAAAGAACATTCCATGATACATACAAAATATATGATATGATTTCCTGTTAATCAAATACCTCCAACATAAAACGCATCCCTCCATCCACAAAGTAATAAGGAGAATTAGTCAACAAGAAAAGCTTCTTCCCCTTCTCCCTTAGCATCTTGAGAAAACGAAACATCTTTCCCTGAAATATTGACCCATAAATTAACAATTACAAACTGTCAACCTGAGAATAAAACAATTCAATCTGATAATAAACCACATGAATAAACAATGTCTACTTTGATAATAAAATAATAATAATAATAAAAAATGTAAGTTCATTAATGATAGACAAAAAAAAATTTAAAAAAAACTTAAGATGCAATCCTGAAATAGATTTTCATTCATATTCTAGACCACTTATTGCAGCATCTGTTGAACACATTCATGGAAAACAGTTAATGGAAATTTGTAAACTGGTTTGAACTTACATTTTTCACTAAGTATCTATGTGGATCAGAGAGAACTCCTCTATGAACCATGCCACTTCGGTGGACGTGCTCAATTGCACGAACAACATCTTCATAAATGTAGGAAGCATCAAATTCTAGCTTAGCATCAACGAAATATTGCACTATATCTGCAAGGAGGCATGCCTACGGAGTAATGATATAAACAATTAGTTCTCAACCTAAGATTTCATGGTGGAAAGAGACTTCATAAGTCAATAGACTGCCCAGGATGAGCCAAATGAAATTGGCAAGGGAGTTATAACTTTCAACAGAACTTCAAAATTTTAAAGTGATCAACTCTATATTATAAGAGTTTGGCCTTAAAACTAAGTTTTATAATTTCAAAAATTGGGAACATCAACATACTCCTCCCCTGTGGCCTAGCTTAACCCTTAACAATCTGAGAGACCTGCTTAGCTATGCAAAGCAGATCTTGTACACAGATTTTAACCTGAAGGAAACCAACATTTTTGTCAGCTTTTTATCAGTAACAGAAATTTAAAAGGAACAGAAACTTTGAGTGTAACTGTCAACAACAAAGCAAATGGCCAATTGAAGAAGCAAGAGTAACTGAAGTATTATATTCTTGGGCAAGTCCCGTCAGAAGGAATAAAATTTATCAAATTACTTCCAGCTAATTTTTATTTCTATTCTCTTTATCATAGTTATCAAATGCGGATTGCGGCATATCGCAGCCAACCCCGAAAAATGCTATAGCGTTATACCAGGTTGCGGTTGCAGAAATAGCGGAATAGATATATGACAGAAATAATGACAAAAAGAAACACTTTTTAAAGGCATAGGTAGCAGAAGTGACAGAAAGAAATGCGGATAGACTAAAAAACCTTAAATTTTTTCTGTTACACATTTAAATTTAGGATAAAATTGACATTTTTCCTTATGACAGCAATATGGCCGCAAATGCAATCGCAATGTCCGCTATTGCGTTCCGGTGTGGCGCGGCGCAGTTTCTTGAGGCGAGGCACCGCAACGCCCATACGGCGCAGCTCGCGGCGCTATTGCGGCACAATTAACTACTATGCTCTTTACATGTTATATAAACAATGCTCTTCATTAACTATGATGATGCAATCATGACTCCTGGTGCTATTCCTTATCTCTAACAAGATAATAATAAACAGGAGATCTAATCATCCTCCACATCCTATGTCCATTTCTTCTGATATACTGGGCTCAAAACACAAAAAAATACGGCAGCAGGGCCATTCTGGATGAACAATGGAGGTGGTATGTGGATGGCAGTAAAATATTTGTCTATATAAATTTATGATATACATACTCCGGAGAATGATAATCTACTTTGACATATGAAGAAAAGTACAAGACTCATTGCATACAAGTTCACTGAGGCAAAGCTCCAAAACTCCACAGTACCAAAGGTTCTCTAGCCATTCACCAGATAATTATTATTGAATGACAGGATAACAAGGAACTAACCTCACTAAAGCAGAAGAAATCCATCAAACCAACAAGTGATCGAGCTTGATCACGACCAATATGTCGCGTGCCATATATATCACGTATTTCCTTTCGGCTTAGCTGTAAAATTATTTGGAAAAAAAGAACTTTACATAAAAGCTATTTTTCTTGTAACAATTCATTTCTGTTACAACAGACAAACCATGCTATGTAAAGATTGTTAAACAGAACTAGTAACCTCGTTTCTTCAATACAAGCATTTAATATGTCCATTATGCAATCTATAAAACTATTACACAGTTCCAATTGTGCATGGATTTTCAGAACAATGGACACAATTCAAAAAAGCTTAAAACCAAATCAAAATAACAATAGAAGCTAACATGATGCATATATATGCCAAATGAAACAAAAGAATCAGTGCCAAATACCCTGCGTCTACCAAAGTAGCATCCATCCGGCTCAATCGAACCAAAGAAATCCAGCTTCATGAGGCACCCTTTTGACTTATCATAGTATAGCCCTCTAATGGGGAAAGTTGGGTCATATTTAAAATCCATGCAAATCTCAGGATACCTAAGCTGAAGGAAGCAACGAGAAGAGTAAGGAAAGGAACCACAGTTAGCAAAAACAAACAGCACGAGTGAGTTGGTCCAAGCTAACCTCATTAACCATGAACTCCTTGGCAAGGTCATATATCAAAGTCTGCAAATGCGACGAGTAATGAGCCAATGTGTAATCATAGTCGAAACCATAAACTTCCAATTTGTCCAATCTCAAGCTTTTATTCACGTATATGCCTAATCCAACACATGAAAGGAAGAAAATAGATCAATATTCACAAGAAAAAAAAACGCATGCATTCATTCTAGTTCAAAAACAAATGTTGAAGCAACCAAACAAGTGACGCACCTTTAGGATTCATTTTGGGCATTTTTCTGAGCGCATCGGGAATATTGAGAAAACTCTGTTTTGCAGCTACGAATTCGCGACGGAGCGCGGCTATCTCATCATCATCAGGTCTCAATACACACTGTTTCGACGATTCAACAATGCTATAGCTTCGAGAGCTTCCAGAAAACCCTAAACCATATAAGGCGCAGCTCAGTGGTTTCGCACACAATCAAAAAACTCAAGTTTTTCTAGCGCAATTTTATATAAGAAAATGAAACAAACAAGTCGAAAGCATTATTAATTATTATAAAGGATTTTTAAAATTTTGATGATGAGAAAAAGACCTTGTAGAAGTGCAGAAGATGAAAGCGGCGCACCCTGCGATAAAGGAAATAGAAGAATGAGTATTCAGCAACATAACATCGGAGAACAATAATGAATAATAGAGAGAGAGAGAGAGAGAGGAGTACGTGTATGGAGAAACCGAAGGGAAGAAGAGTATGAATACGACGAGAGGCCATTGGATTTGGATTCAGCCTTTCATTCCAAGTTGGAGTTAAAAGGCTTTTGAAAATTGAGAAGACGAGTTGTTGTGAAGCGAGTGTTGTGTTTGCGTTGGGTCAGTCAAGTGTGAAAATTATGTATGGCCTGAAACTGTGGGGATAGTATCCTTCATTTTACGCGCCCATTGGTTGCTCTATTCCAAAACGAATTTCAGTTTTCGTATCACAGAAAAGAAAACTATAGGGTGGAAAGAGAAAGATCCTAACGATACTTTCTTCTTGCATCATATGCCCCGCCCGTCTCATTTATGCAACTTTTCCCATACTTTTTGTACCGATTTATGGATAATCCTTTTCTCTTTTTCTTTTTCCAACTTTTTTGTTTTTAGAGTAAATATTATTTTTGGTCTCCAGCAACTTTTATGATGTCTGTTTTAGTTCCTAGCAAATAAAAAGGTCCACCGTGGTTCCTAAGAAATTTAAAATGGACCCATTTTAGTCTTTTTAGAGACTAATATGACTCTTTTTTGAATTTGTAAGGGACCACGATTTCAACTAAATGAGTTTATTTTAAATTTCTTAGGGACCATAATGGGCCTTTTTATTTGCCAAGAACTAAATCGGGCATCGTAAAATTTGCTGAGGACCAAAAAGGATATTTACTCTTTTTTTATTATTTTCAACTAAATTTTGTTATGACCTGTTAATGGACACAGGACATATATGACACAATAGATACGTTAATTCTAAAAGATATTAAATTTTAATATATTAAGACATATTTTAATATTAAATATATTTTTAATTTATGTAGTGTATATTATATTTAATATTCAATAGTTTATCCTAAAAATAGAGTTAAACCTGTTATCAAAAAAAAAAATAGAGTTAAACTTATAATACCCTTAAATTTTACAAAAAAATATAAAATATCACAAATATTTAGGTTAAACTAATAAAATTGTAATTATAATCCAACAAATTTAGTAATTGTAACTAAAAACGCAACGTAATATAACTTTGAACCCCCTTTTTAAATGTTTGCAATGCGTGTTAGAGTGCCGAAGTATCAAGAAATGTCAAAAAAATTCGAACACGTCAAATTCTTTGAAGTGAGAATACATCATATAACCTACTAGTGTGTTCGAAAACTTCTCTACCTTCATTTAATAGTATTCTTATAAAGTTATTTTGGCAAGTCACTTATTAGCTTTTGTGAAATACTAGATCTATTTCGAAATAATTATGATCTAAAGTTTTTTTACAAGAATTTACAAAGTCATTAAATGATTTTTATTTTATAAAATTATAATTATACTCAACTAAATTATCTTTTCTCTTCATTAATTTTGTCTCTTATTTTATTTAATATAAATTTTAAGAGATAAGAAATATGTTGAAAAAACAACTAACGTCTAAATTTTAAAATGAAAAATAATTTAAAGTAACAAATATTTTAAAATGAAAAAGTATAGCATGAGGTGTTTGAAATTGGGAAGAAAGGTATTGAAAAGATTAAAAAAAGGGAGTAGCAAAAGGAAGAAAATGATTAAAAAAAGAGAGTAGTAATAGTTTTCCTTTTTATTTGAATATTTAAAATTAAAAAATGGAGAGTTTTAAAAGAAATAGATAATCGATTAAGGGATCATTCTATAAACAAGTCACATTCTTAAAAGAAAATTACTAGTATAATCTAGATCGTCTAATAATTATTATTAATATATTTTTTATTGAATTATTTATATAGTATAAATTATACTATGCTAGTAATTTGGCACGCACCTTGAACTTCTAGAATTGTAAAATAGCATTAATTATGATATCTTATAATTTTTAATGAATAAATCATTATATTGTAATTATACCTTAACAATGACACGTTGATGACAGCTATAATTATTTTCGTGGGTATAATTTAAAATTACTTAGTTTCTCCTCTAAATTCTTTAAATAAAAAGAAATACAAAAATATGCATGTTTGGAAGTTTGATTTGTCTATATAAAATAAATTCATATTTATAGATATTAAAAATAAATAGTTAATTTAAGTTTTTAAAAGCTTTGTTTTGAAACTTTTTTATAACACTTTTTAAAAAATTAAAATGAATTAATTCAAATACCGATTAAGTGTTATTTTTTTTTTAAGAAATACAGCTATTCTTCTATATTTTATATTAAATCAAACAAAAACTGTTTCATTTAAGTATTAGGTTTCCTCTTCATTTCTTTTCTTCCAACCGTACGTGTTGCCACTAGCAGCAGCGAGTTCGCAAGCATTGGATTTGCCTTAGAATTAATGTTATTCAATTGGAAGGAATTTGCAAAATACAAATAATTACATTTCTTTTTCTACTCTATGGACTCTAGTTATTTTTTTGAGATAATTCTGAGAGTTAATCGCAGCTAAGTTGCCCCTCCCAAATGCTCCTCTTTTGGAGCATTTAACGAGTTTACTCAAGTTGGTCACGCCACCATTCGGACTAGCACTTACTGATATATTACAGTCAATGATATCTAATTATCTACGAACCTCATTGCGACCATGCCAATGGACCAGGACTATGTGTCCATGCCGATGAACCAGGACTATGTGATATGCAGGAACCCAGATAGGCATGTGCGTCATCGACGATTCCCATGTTGTCATACTGGATCTCAGGGTTCGTGCCCGATATATGATCACAGTGACGAAACATAATGAGCTATTTTGGGATTATAATGACAAAATAACCCATTAAGTCTCATCATTGTGATCATGTATCGGGCACAAACCCTGAGATCCAGTATGACAACATAGGAATCGTCGATGACGCATATACCTATCTGGGTTCCTACATATCGCATAGTCCTGGTTTATCGGAATTAACACAGTCCTGGTCCATTGTAACATCTCGAGCGCTGACAAGGGCGGTGAGTGATCGCCGGTGCGAAAGGGCATGGACAAAGAGCGGCTCCTGACAGGCTTCCGGCGGGGGGTTACATGAACGGATGAATCGAATCGACACCCGAAAGAGAGAGATTCCAAAGACTGTGCAGGTATGAGGCTGCACAGTTTGGGATAGCTTATAAGAATTAATTGGTACTACCTATACTAACAAGATGATCTGCTTTTCGGTAGCCCGGAACAGAAGAACTCCATAGTTAAGCGTGCTTGACTTGGAGCAATTCTGGAATGGGTGACCTCCTGGGAAGTTTTCCCGAGATATGTGCGAGTGAGGAAAAAACACACTAAAAAGTCTCGTGTTAGTATGTGGGGATAGCCGTTGATTCTTGAAGCGGCCAGGCGTTACATCCATCGGCATCATCGCAATAGGGTTCGTAGATATTGCTGACTGTAATATATCAGTGAGTGCTAGTTCGAATGACGGTGTGACAAACTGAGTAAACTCGTTAAATGCTCCAAAAAAGGAGGTCGGTGGTGCTTGTTCCATCAAGGATCCACGCCATGGAATCACGTGGTCAGGTGAAGAAACAAAATCGGGCCGATAAACATCTGCAATAGAGAATAATGATGGCGAATGATGATGTGTTGTTGAATGATTCTGGACTTGTGACTAATGATAAGAAGGTGGCCAATGGTGGGAAGGTGGCTCCTGCTGGGATGTATATGTCTCTAATGGATAAAACTAAGATTGTGATGGTCCTGCAGCATCAGCATTATGTGTTGTTGAATGATTCTGGACTTGTGACTAATGATAAGAAGGTGGCCAATGGTGGGAAGGTGGCTCCTGCTGGGATGTATATGTCTCTAATGGATAAAAGTAAGATTGTGATGGTCCTGCAGCATCAGCATAAAACATACCAGCCCCCCTAGGAGCAAGAAGGGGCAACTCCTATGTATCATGCTCAACTTGTCGTCTACGACGCGCTAACCCTTATCATTCCCTCTAAGTGTGAGGTATCTGATCACCTACATCAATGGGTTGTGATAACTACATAGATGCAGATGTTGGCTCACCATGACATGATACCCGATCATACCTTGTCTATATGTTGATCATATGCTCAACAACTCTACTAATGTCATTGTGTGGCTGACGTGTCCGACACATGTAATGAACACATTGAAGCAATCCGTCTACATATACAAAAGGGTAATATGATTTAACATTTGTAATAAATCCCGTGACAAATAATAAATGTACGAAATAAAATCACTCAACTCACCAATAAACCCGAGTGACATGCCTTCTTGGTGATCGATCATCTAGTTATTCCTTTATACCACACCATGTAATCTGAGTTAGGCCCTAAGATGCCATCATGTGGATGCGGTGGAGTATTCTGAATCCAAGTATCTCTATGAGTCCAGTGCTCAATGAATTGCTCCAATTGATGAGGCCAGGGCACCTCAGTCTCTCCCCTCAAGGTGAGATGACGGACCTCCTGTGGTTGTAAATATGGTTGTAAATATGGTTGGGGTATATCTTGACCATCTAAAATTGTCTCAAAACACAGTTTGGATGGAATTCTACAATCTGAAAACAAATCATTGGTTTGATTGCTCTCTAACGATCACTAATTTCTTGAATATGATCATGCAAAACCATGCCTGCGTATGGAGTCCGTATAATCTGCACAAAACAATTATCAAAATTAAAATCGTAATTAAAATAAATAAATAAAAGATAAAAGTGGTAAGCATTTTGCAAGTACCTGACGCTCGGTCATCCTGTCAAACCTCTCTCTCAATACCAAGATAGATCATGAAAGGTTGTCTTATGTCCGATCCATCTACAAAAAATTTCATATGTACAATAAATATCACATAATAGACATATCGTCGAAATCTGGGAGAGGTGGAATAATCTCCGGAGCAATGGTCAAAAATCTAGCCCAAGCCCACATCTGCAACACTACCATTGCACTAGATATTTCAATACGATTAGGTGTTCAATACAATCAAGTGTGGTGGAAATGCACAACTCCTGACAAAGGAAGGCCAACATTGTCGATCCCTAACTATATTGTCGACATGCATCCAAGTTACTAAGAAATGGTAGATATCATAGATGCACCCAACTACCATTGTCATCTACAAGTAAGAAGCCTCTAATAATACGTAATATGTACGCTTGCATGAAGCCACACATAGTAGAATTTCTGTGGAATACAAAAGGTGAA